TAATAATAATAATAATAATAATAATAATAATAATAATAATAATAATAATAATAATAATGTCCACAGTTTAGTATGTCACTAATTAATATACTGTTTAATAAAAAAAAAATTGAAATTTATTGAAATTATTAGCGAAATTGCTTGTTTTTTATTTTTCTTCTTATTTATTTTATTTCATCAATTTAATACAATAATACATACTTTCGTTGTAGAATAGTATTCGGTGACAAAACACTACATTTTATTTTGTATCCCATTGTATTAAAATCTGCCAAATCATCTTTAGCTATAATAATTTTATTCATAAAAATTACGAAATTTAAAAATAATAATTTACCAGCATTATAACAGATAACTTAGTGACAAAAACATGTGACAAAATATTAATATCGTTTTCTCGGAAACAATTAATGTTATATTATCACGTTCTTGGAACAAAAGGATTATTAAGTAAGGTTTTTTGATTACCCTTAAGTTGAAATGCTGAAAAGCCGAAAGATTTAATTTTTTGGGATAATAAGCCATATAAACCTTTTACGACTTCAGAATTTTTGTTAGCAATAACTAATAAATTAAAAAAAAAATCCTTACTGAACAAAAAATTACGGCAAAAAAAACTTGTATCATTAATTTTTTTTCATTGTTTCTCGACGCCTTGTACATCACTTTTGTTACGTTACACCTATCAAATTTGTTTCTAGTTTAGGACAACTTAAGTTATAACTTCTCTTAAAATTGTTTATATTCGCTATATACGATTTATTAAAGTGCCTGCAATCGCCTGAGATTCTGTGGGTACACTTTCAATGGAAGACAGGGAAATCAGAGAAACTGAAAAAACTTTTCATGTAGCAACCACGAAAATATTTCATTTGAAACAACTAAATTTTATTTTATGAACTTAATGAAAAATATGTGCTAAATTTTCTGGCAACAATAATTTCATTTATTGAATCTTGAACATTTTGAACTGTAATTATTATTTTCAGAAATTTCCAACCCCAACGTTAACTACCCAGGGCTGCAGTGGTTGGCGAATGGGGCCCCGTCGTACCACAACCCAACGTCCACTTACAAATACGCGGTAATATCGTTCACGATATTGTACCGCCATTGAGAGAGCGACTCAGCTGCTTACAGCAACATTTAGTGGTAGAACAGCATGTAATTTTTTGGTAGGATACGAATGCGCTCTCCAAATACAAGCTAGGAAAACTAGTGACACATAGTTAGAACCTAAACCTACAAACAAATAGATTTTTTATGTGTATACTTTTGTATTTTTATAATTTTGTACAACCGACAGATTTTCATAGACGCTTACACCGACAGGATTCTAAAACTAAGGTTATGTTAGCGAGCAAGCGCCCTCTGTATCAGATATTCACTTGTCACGACAGCAATTGTTTTTATAGTAAACAGCCTACTATTTATTATTCTATGTGGCGCAGCGAATTTAGGACCAAAGGAACACCCATTCTAAAACGTTTCTTTTGCCAGGGGCGTTTTAAGCACGGTGAAAATTTCCTGTGCTGACATAGATGTGACGTTTTAAATTTATATGTAATATATGTTTTATTGTATATTTAACTCCTTAGTTTAAGATCCAACGAAATTGGCCTAATTTTTGTTAAGAATTTTTACATAGTTTTTATGTTTATATGGAATTGGTTTTTTTTTTTGAGATTATTAACTTAATATGTGTAATTTTATATTCGAATAAAAATTGCATTCCTTACAAAGACTGCAATGTGACAAATATTACAAAATATTTGTCTGTTTCACTTAAAATTTGTATTATACGTCCATTTTTCTTAGTTAGTTATACTGGTTTTTATCAAGTAGCTTGATTTAACAATACATAACCTGATTCAAGAAAATTAATTGGTATCAGATCAAATCCATACTGTTCCAGTTACATTTGCAAACGTCCAGTTTCATGGCTTGATCTCAATCCAACTGATTTTTTTTTAACTAAATATTTGTAAATATGTTCAGATAGAATTGCATTCCTAAAAAAGACTGCAATATTATGAGGAAATTGCCCAAAATAATTATTGGTTTATTGTTTCAATCTGAAAGTCTGTATTATACGTCCATTTTTTTTAAGTTAAATATAGCGATTTCTACAAAAAGAAAATATTTAGTTTTATTTATTTCATGCCTAAATTTAATTGATAAGGAAAATCTATTTCGATTTTGCCTTTTATTAACCACAACAATTGTTACAATTAATTGTATAACAAATCTTGAACATTTAATTTGTTCTCAATTGGAAAAAGAACTGGAAGGTTTGGAGCAGGAGCATCGAAATATTTGAATGATATAATGATTTTATTAAATTAAAAATCGACATTGTAAAAAACTGTTACATTAATAAATAATAAAACAATTCGGATCACTGGACATTTAAAATAAAATACTTAAAAAAACGGAACATCAACATTACACTCACTAGAATACTTTAACAAACATATGAAAGCTTGCAGAAGCTTTAGTTGCCTTTAAAACGAAAACGCCTAAATAATATTCAAACGCAATAAATTAGAGCAACGTGATTGACATGACTAAAAATCTAAAAAAGTCTCGTACTTAAGTAAACCACTGGCACAAACGGAAATGTCAATTCCAAAGAAGCAATTTTAAAAATAGGGTATAGATTACGAGAAAAATCACAGGTATTCTTAAAATGATTATTCTATAATATGAGGCCGCTGAAAAATAACCAGAAACACAAAACCCTCTCAGTCCTACCGTGTTAAACATGTTCATAACCTCGAAACAAATAAATATTCTTTAAGAACAAACTGAGGTTACGTTCAACAGTATACTATCAATAACAAGCATTATTTCCAATCGTACACACCGAAACATCTTGTATACATACAGATTGGTATGGCAATATAATCCTCCGTATCCCTAAAAACCCCTCGGTTTCTGGTTATTTCACGACGGCACCCCTGGTTTCGAGACGAAAGCCAGTCGTCCCGACATAATCTCCTAATATGTCTGACTAGCTTATATTCTTACACATAGTAATACTAATAGAGGTGTACATTAAAATGGAGCAAGTCGTCGAGGAGGCTTGGACCGGCTTCTGACGTTTTATCACATTTTTTTTCTCGGGAAGATATCACAAATAGGAGCCCCAAAAATCACCGGTAATCGGATAACGTTTAAATTATTCTCAACGTTTAATAGATCAGGTCTTTATACAATACCGTACGTTCTACAATCCTTTCTAATTACTCAATTGATGATTTTATATATTACAATTAAGAACAGTAAAAAAATTACACTTTCTTGCGTTTCACTGAAATTTGGTATATTGCATAGTTTTAAAAATCATATGTGTATTAGGGTTGTCCTGAAAGATTTTGAGTATTCGTGAGTATGAATGTAAATGCAAATATTTCAAGTTGATATTCCTGAATACAAAAGCTAATATTAACAAATAATTAAAAATTAGACACTAAAAATATATCGAAGGCTTGTATTAATGTCTTTAAAGTAAAACTAACCCATATACATCGTAAACAAATTAATTTTCAAGCTACAAGGTGTTGATATTTTTAAAAAATATAACATTTGCCTGTGCAAATATATTTTAGAATGAATCAGTAGTATAGATACTGGAAGATATAGCCACTAAAAACCTCAGAAAATATAATTGAAAATTTTCAAACTTGATTTGTGTGCTTGACTCGTAATTGTATTTCAAAGAAAGGTTTTTTCCATTCAATTTGGAAAACAAACCACTTTCGAGTTCGACATTGAAATAAATCGAAAATACCTCTAAAATTGTTAATTTCACAAAAAAATTTATCAAAAAGTTTTGGTAAAAATACAAATTTAAATACTATATCGCTATCAAACGTTAAAAAAAATATTGAGATAGAAAGTTTTTTGGGAGCAAAATATCTTAAAATTAAAAAATTCAACGTTTTAGATTTCTAATAATAACATTGTTATTAAAATCGTATTTATAAGAAAATATTTACAATAGAAGTTTTCTTTGAAACAAGCAGTTTTAGAGTTATTATCGATTTGTTCCACTTAGTGGAACAGAAGCGGTTTTAAATTTTGAAAAAATATGAATTCAAAAAAAGGTTGTCAAATAAAATGGGAGGGTGACAAAAATGTTTTCTGGGTCTTTTAATGGCAGCATATCTGAGTTCTGTCATTCGTTTACATAATTATACATAAATCAGTGACTTCTAGACCCTTTCGCTGTGGGAAACGGATATATACAAGCTGTTACAAATTCGCTTCTCACTACAGGGATCTCGGAAAGGGTAAGAGATACAAACTAGCTTAAATGGGGGCAAAGTTGCGTAATTAGGGTACCAACATTATGCCTCTAAAAAATCAAGGCTAACATAGTTTTCGAAATATTTGAAAAAAAACGAAATTTTGGAAATCCGTTTTTTATTCATTTCAGCCTTGTTTGAGGTGCTATTGAAAAAAGAACACTTTCTCATGGCCACTTTTTGCCCTCTATCCAATGGCATAATCAATTTTTATATGTAACGTTTCGTCTCTCCAGGACCATCATCAACTTCATTTTTTTAAATACGACTCTAGAAATTTTATTACATTTTTTGCAAGCCTTCATGACCCCCAATACTGTACTGCCTCAGCCCGAACCAGATTCAGACGTTTTGTCTCGAAAAATTCATCTTCAGTGTATTCGTTCCAAATTTATCTAAATTTTTTATTTAGATTTCTTTGTTTATTGAATTATCGTACACTGTAAGTGTCGTTAGACCCTGTGAAATCCATCTAGTTATTTAAACTATTACCACCACGCGTTACAATAAAACATTTATTATTATTAACTATTACCATCACTTGGTCATACATAACTCAATAAGTTGTTGCGTCAAAATTAAAACATTATTACAATTTTAATTTTATTATGACAAATTAATTCTTAAAAATGCATATGAACAACCAAAACGCCAACTGAATATTATTCTTTAAAAAATTTCAGTAAATGTTCAAAAACATTTTCGTTTTGGCAAAGGTTGAAAATGAAGATCAGCGTAATATTATCGGAATTTATTATATCTGTAACCGCAACTGTGAAAGAGCATGTCAGATGTATTTGTATGAATATCCTGAAAAAAATAGATCGGAATTTGTTTGAATTTTGAGCACTCGAGAAGCCTAGAAATAACTATGGACACGGGAATAAAACTCTAATAATGTTTTATTTTAATGCGTGGTGGTAATAGTTTAAATAACTAGATGGATTTCACAGGGTCTAACGACACTTACAGTGTACGATAATTCAATAAACAAAGAAATCTAAATAAAAAATTTAGATAAATTTGGAACGAATACACTGAAGATGAATTTTTCGAGACAAAACGTCTGAATCTAATTCGGGCTGAGACACTACAGTATTGGGGGTCATGAAGGCTCGCCAAAAATGTAATAAAATTTCCTGGGTCGTATTTAAAAAAAATGAAGTTGATGATAGTCCTGGAGAGAGGAAACGTTACATATAAAAAAATTGATTATGCCATTCGATAGAGGGCAAAAAGTTGCCATAAAAAAGTGTTCTTCTTTTTTCAATATCATCTCTGAAATGAAACAAAAACGGATTTCCAAAATTTCGGTTTTTTTCAAATATTTTGAAAACTAATCACGATAGCCTTGATTTTTTAGAGGCATAATGTTAGTCCCCCATTTAAGCCACTTCGTACCTCTTACCATTTCTGAGATCCCGAGATTTTTATAATAAAAATGTTATTAGAGAGTGTATTATTTCAAAATGTGTGGCCATATACACAGCATAAAAAATTGCACTTATTGTGGGAAGCCTATGTACCCGGATAGCTTGCCCGCTTTAACACAATGGAAACATCAATTCAAAACCCATGCCGGATTAAGGCATAAGGATTAAGACTTTAAGCCAGGTCTCATCAGGTTAGACAGTTAATCTTCAGATATTTATTTACGTCATATTTTTTAAAAAACGTCATTAAAACTTCTTAAAATAATAATCTCTGAAAAATATTTATGTACATATTTATCAATATATGAAATACTGAAATATGTACAATTTTTTAAAATAAAAAAAGTGTTCTTTTGTGACTTATAAAGAAAAAATAATTCACAACTAATGTAGTCTGATTTAAACAAGTCATATAATTTTTCATCTTTTTATCAAAATAAAATTTATTTTAAAATAAAAATAGATATTTTTTTTATAATGAATTCTAATTTTTTTATGTACCTTCCTTCTCTGCGGACACAAATGCGAATTTAAAATTTGATACAAATAATTCACACTCACAAATACGAATACGAACATCCCTAATACATAAAACAATAAATATTTGAGATGTAATTCCTTTTTTTAATTTTACAAGTCCCAATATCAAAATACTGAAGTAACAACTTATCGGCGAATCACTTTTCTATCACAAACATTACGTCACTATCCAACATATAACAGTACCAAAAAAAAAAAACAGTCAAATGATTGTCAAAAAGAATTCTCACTCCCCCAAACAAAGTCAAAACGAACTTAACCGCATTTTTTTGTTTGTCTGAAGCCGACGCGCCGGCTCAACACTTGCTCCCTATAGCTAGTTGAAAACGGTGACAGTTATATATACGCCTAACACGGGCTTGTCCCGCGACGTCGATACGCTACCTAATACATAAAATCTCCCAGACAGAGAAACTACTTTACGCCTACACGCTAATAAACACCTCCAAATATCTAATACTGTTCCGACGCGACAAGAGTATTTGAACATTGGGGGGAACACAACCGATCGACGAAAATTACTAAGGAAGAGACCCATCCAACTTAAAGAAAATAACTTATAAAATAACCCAAGCGTAAAGTCGGAACCAGCCCTCCTGCCCCTGCCATTTCGCGGACAACCTATTGGTTACGGGGTATGCCCTTTCCTGTTCTTCTTTAAGGAGATATCATCGACGTCCTCACCTTTTTTTACCTCGGTGAATCGTTCGCCCTTGAGCGATACGATTTTGTTGTCGCGGTAGCGTACCATCTTTTTTGGCTCCACTTTGGGAGCGACAGGGCGATGCTCTTTGTTGAAAGCATCCTTGTCAATGTAGGAGTACCTCTCGATGATGCGGTGTTTTAGTTCCATATCATCGATGGTCTTTTTGGTGACTTGGATGGTCAGAGAGTTGTTTTGGCTGAGACATTGGCCATTCTCCTGGCGATCGATCAGGATTTGGGTGGCACGTTCAATATCCCCGGCCGCTATGGCTAGGCAATGTTTTACCTAAAACGTTCGGTTAATGTGTTCGAGCTATATGTAACACATCTATTTCAATAACCCCCATTTTTTTGAGTCCCAAAACGCCTCTGTCAACTCATTTCTTCAAGTCATCATTAGTGAATATCTGCCAGAAATGTTTAATAAATTCATGACAACCGATAAGACCCAAAAAAAAGGCAGGTAGGTATGCAAAATACCACAACTTGCATATAATCATGAAGCAACATAAAAAGCAATAAAATTTATCACTAACCTCAATAGTGCAAACGCTGGGAAACATCTCCTGTAGAACATCCATTTCGTCGGGAAAGTCACAGCAGGAACTGTCAGTTGATCCTCCATCGCTCATTTCTGAGAGTTTATGCGAACGTTTTGGTGGATCACATTCAGAATTGCTATGAGATCTATGACAAAAAACTTAGATGTAAGACACTTCCTACAAATGTTACTAACTTTTCCAGTAGTTTCACAAAACAAAATGCCACTTAGTAACAAAATACTGTCAAAAAATAAATAAAAACATATGAACGTGCGAACTGTCAAATAAGTCCAAGACATCTTTGTCATTGATATGAAATCTTGAGAAATTACCTCGGTTTCACTTTGGGGAGGATCTCGGGTAGAGAAATATCCAACGTAATATTTTTCTCTTCTGGTTGGTCGACTTCTTGCAGCTTTGCCTCTAACTGGAACATCCACTGGCACACTGTGGCGTGGTTTATGGACTCAAATTCTGGAAAGTATGCTGCCATCATCTCGCAAAAACCTGAAAGTTGTACAAAACCATGAATGGATGGTTTAAGAGATTTAAATGTTGCGCCAACCTTCTACGTCAAAAACTGGATCTGATCCTACGTCTTCCAGAACGGCTATGACATAAGAAAGTACTATCTCGTCGATTAGGCTCAGATCAGCGTCAGGGATGTGAGTTTTTACGAACTCGAAAAGGGAGTCTTTAATTTTAGTCTCTTGCTCTGCAATGTTTTTCTTCGACATCTTAAAACCCTACAGTACAAATACTGTTAAAACAATAGCAGTCCAACGGTTCAACTAACTTTTGACCCTTTTAATAATGCAACACTAGTATGTAATATTTATAATGCTCAATTTTAATAACAAATTTAGCTGGCTACAAAGCACTATGCATAATACATTCAATTGGAATGGTTTGGTGTGGCTAATACTGTCCTAATAAATTAAACTTACCTAGTACTTGACTGCTGCGTGTATTTAATACGATTTTTGGGGTTTTTACAGAGAAATAAATATTATATATTTAATTCTGAGCCCAATCAATAACACAACCAGAGTTGTTTTTGTATAGATGGAGTCCCGGTTCCCCGACTTGTGCATTTAACCACCTCATCACGTAGTACCGAACACAGTCGCAGGATGTTGCAAGGAACCACAAGTGTATGCAACCCTATAAAAATAATGAAAAAGATAAATTTCTTGGGGAAAAATCGTTCATAGCTTATCATTATCATAAACGCCAATCTGTACAATCAATAACATTTTATTACCATTCAAACTTCCTTCCCCATACCTACCTATTTTAGTTAAATATCGCATATCCTGTACATTCCCTTCACTCTACCGTAAATTTCGAACCATGTTCTTTTTGATTATGAAATTAGTTTAATTGACTGAAACGACATATCATATAATCGCAATTAATGTATATAACTTAATTATACCTCATACATATCTACTACAACAGGAAGGGATATTATAAAAAAAAATAACATGCCGCTTTTTGTGTCCTAGGGGTATTTATATATAAAAAAATTTGCTGAAAAATTCACAGTTACTAAGTATTACGATTATCAGCATCATGATTGTACCAACGATTGTTATTTTGGTGGCTTTTATTCTAGTAATGGATGTAAGTGAATTTTAAATATTAATAGAACAAAAATTTAGATCAATTTTATTCAAAATTAGAAGTGGCATATAAACTTTTTGTATTTCTATAGGTGCAGAAAAATCTCGAGGTTAGTATTTTTGTGTTTCATAGAATTATATTTAGTTTAATATGTTTATGGCTTAGTTGGCCTACCATTTAAACTAAAGTATGTCTTTAATCCATAGAAAAATCCCCTAAATAAAATTAAAATAGGCATAGGCAACCATATGTACGGGTTAATGTATTAAAAGTTGTCAATTATAAAGGATGTACGAAATGAACAAACTGGGAACCTACGAAAATTTTAAGCTAAACAAAAAAATTCGTATGAATTTAGAGGTGTAAAAATGTACAGGGTAATTGACAACTCCTCCAAAAAAAAATTTTTTAATGTACAGGGGACTCTTACAAATACAATTTTCGAAAATGATATAAAAATACACTTCTGCACAGCACTGGAAACTGGTCCACTGTAAAATCTGACCTTGCGCAAGGCAAAGCATACAGTCGGCGATCAGCACGGCGGCAAAGTGTAATAAAAATGAACGGACAAAAAATTGAAAGAATTTCTTTCCTTGGGAAAGAAATAAATACAATTTTATAACACCTATTTTATATCAGCAAATTCAACTGCTTTTACACCGCTATTGTTATTATTAATTAATAAAATTAATTTGTGGTTTCAATTAATAAAATAATTTCACATACCTGACATTACAACTGTTCAAAATTTTGTCCACCGACGTGTAAACACATTTGGGCCCATTTTTCCGAGTTTCTACAAACTAACACAAATGTTGTCTTGCTTCACCATAACATAAATGCTTCACCTTAACACAAATGTTATCTTGCTTTACCATAAATTAAAACAATTTCTCTCAACTCCGAGTTGTTATACACGTAAGTCATTTTTGACACTTGAAAACTAATGTAAACACTATCGCAAAAACGTTAATATTAAAATCGGATTTCAGTATTCGGAATCGCATAAGGTCACATGGAAAGAGAGCGCATGTCGCTAGAGACAAGAGTAACCCAGTGATGTAAGGATTGAAAATACTACAATTTCAATAATATTCTTCTTGGAAACTAAGGATTTTACAAAAATTTTTTTTACGATATTGGCTCCATTTTATATGACACATCTATTCCTAATTTTTTTTGGATAACTTGTGAATCACCCTGTATAAGTATACCAATAACATCTAAAAAAAAATGTTTTTTTAAAAAAATTTTCTTAGGTGCACCAAAACAAGTAAGTTTTTTCGAAAAACACCTTATGAAGAGAACTGTTTTGTAGGGGGAAGAAAGTGTATAGTTGTTACGTACTCAATTGAAACCGCATAAAAACATTTAACTCATAAATTCTACGGAATCCATAGACGTCCAGAAAAATTTAGCCCTGTCTCGTCTAGATATACCGAGCTATATTACGATATAATTACCATACGATTGTCAAGTTTTTTATGTTTAAAATCGCATTGTAATCAAGCATGTGGTAAAATATCTAAAGATTTATAATTATAATCAGGATAATCGCTTAATTTATTTCGAATCATATTTAAAGCAGGAACTTTATTTTCTTTATACATTTTATAAATTGTGCACCACATTACATCTGGTAAAATCGTCAATTTTCTTTAATTTTATATTTTTCCGTTTCCTCTTTGTACCGTGATCAATCCTTCTTTAATTATGCGATAAATTGACCATTTTTGGATATCTTAGTTAATTCGTTAATCCGTTTCCTAACTTTTTTATCACATTGTTCACTATTTTCAATTTTCAAACCTTCACATATATATTTAATATAATACGTTTACTTTTTACGTGTAAATCTTTGTTTCGATACTTTCGACCGGTTCCACTATTTGGGGATTTTCCCGAGTTATTTCGTTATCCTCCGCTTCAAAGAGTCTCCAGAGAGCCACGCTAAATTACTAGATAATTACATATAACATTTATTTTTAATAACTATTACCCTTTACTGGTTACGATATGAACAAATAATAATATCAACTAATAAATAATAATACGTATTATACTAACAACATACCCCGCCAAGCAATGCTCTGCACGGCACTGGCAAAGCGGCAAAGCTAGGTGAACCCGTGTACCATACAAAAAAATGATTTACGACCTAGTAGACTTATACAGGTTTGCTTTGATGACCAGCGCGCTGCCGTCAATTCTCATCAGGCGGAATAGTTTATACATCAGGCGAACTAGTTTACCAATACCGGACTCGCCGAATTGCTATTCGAATATAAATTACGAGACACATCATGGTCAAAGCATAAGAAGAAATTTCAGGAGAAGTGTATACGGTCCTGTGCTTTAAAGATTTACAGGTTCCAAATGACATCGTAACAACTATACAAGGAATTTCAAATGAGATAACCAAGAAAATAATAATGGTTTAATAATAATAATTAGTGACAAGTTAGAAGTTAGATCTCAAAATTCATTGTAAACTTTCTCAACTCACCAAAAATCGGATCCCAACCAATTGGGTTAACTTTAAACTCACTGGACTCAAAATTTATTTGCTCACAAGATTTATTAGGAACTGTTTTTCTAAAATATGATCTTTGCTACCCTATGTAAATAGACTTTTTTTGTTCAGTGCAAAATTTCCTATAATAGACCAAAATTTGTACATTTCGTATAGGGACTCATCACATGTCGAATAAATATCTGAATATTTAAAATCGAGCCAAATAACTTTTAAGGTAGATGCTGATCTAACAGACAAGCTTCGCCAGAAGTTGGATCTACCAGAGGTCCAAAAATGTATTACATCTACGGGATACATACCAAAAGGGCCACCAGAAGGGCCATCACAAGAGTTTACTCCCGAGCAGCTATGCTTCTTCAAATGCATCATGGAGGAGAAAGGATTGCTCGACAGTACTGGGAACATAATCCAGGACGAACTGAACAATGTGCCTCTTCCTATTCCAGATGACAAAAAGAACGAAATTAAGAAATGCGCGGCCGGTGCCGGAAAGATCGAGTCTTGCGAGGATATACAGAAATTGCTCTCCTGTCTACCTATGTAGAGGTCCTATTTGAAGCTTGTGTAAATTTTTAAAGTAATAAATATATTTCACATGCAATATGGCTTTTGTTTTTTGTGCCTTTATGATTGGCAAACATTTTGATATTTTGATTATTTAAAGTAATATTTAAAATACTGAATTTTTTGCAAGAACTTATAAATTTTTGAAATTTACATTTTTATTTCTCTGACAATTTTGTGACTTAATCATTTTATTATTTAAATTAATTGCACTTAAATACGTTAGATAGTTACTGTAATGGTAAAAATGAAAATATGACATCCAGAGAATATTCCAAATAGTGTTCAGTCATCTTCAGACTGTCCTGTGGATGGCATATAGTCCAAACTATATGTCCTTGGGACATACGGTGGGATATCCAAGATATTTATAATTTATTTGACCAACATATACCAATCTACACTATACTTATTTAAGAGTAAATTTCCAGTTTGGTACACAACCGAAATCATAAACAATATAAAAGTTAAAGGCTATCATCACAATAAATTTAAAACAACTCGTAACAACTTTCACTTAAATGAGTTTAGACGTTTGAGACGCTTAATAAAATATCAATTACATTTTGCTTACAATAATTCTCTTGTTGACTGCAAAGCGAATATTAAAAGTGACCATAAAAGGTTTTGGTCCTTTATTCAGAATAAGAAAGGGCACACGCGTATACCTAAAAATGTTTTTCTCGATGATCAAGAATTTGATGATCCCGTGCAAATTGCGGACACTTTCTCTAAATTCTTTGCTAGCGTTTTTTCCATTGAAAATGTTCAGAATCCAAATTTATCATTAAATTATTATCAATCCTGCATTAAAATACAACAGCTTACGGAATCTGATGTCCTTCTAGCAATCTATAAACAAAAAACAAAATGACGCGTGGTGAGGATCAGATTCCTAGTTTTCTAGTAAAGGATTGCTCGAGAGTTTGCTTTATCAACTGGCGAATTTCCTGATAGGTGGAAACTTACAAGAGTGTGTCCAATTTTAAAAAGCGGTAACCCTGCGGATGTAAGAAATTATCGCCCTGTTGCCATATTGTCTAACATTTCAAAGGTCTTTGAGATGTGTCTGTATAAATAAATACTAGATAGCTTAAAGTCGTAGGTACGTATCACCAAATCAGCATGGTTTTTTTCCGAATCGTTTACCCAGTATACTATGTTGATGACAAAGGGCAAGTTAATGTCTTTTACACAGACTTCTCAAATGCCTTTGACAAGGTGAATCATAGTACCTATATTGCTACATAAGTTGGAACGGTATGGTTTCAGTGATAGCTTACTCCGCCTTTTGAATTCTTACCTATATCATCGAAAGATGTACATATGTCTCTTATATTGGTTTCAAGACGAATACCTTTAATCCGGCATCAGGAGTACCTCGAGTAAGTACACTCCTTTTTACATTATTTGTAAATGCGGCTGATTGTTTGTTATTGCAAGACCTTGTGGATCATGTTTATATAATATGGTGTACTGATAGTAATTATTTACCTGTTAACACAAAAAAATGCAAAGTGTGTACGTTTACTCTTAAAAATCAGCCCCTCATATTTGATTATAATATAGGTATGTCACCTTTANGCAAAATTTCGATTTAAAGGCTTAGTTAATTGGACTAACTGTGGACATTTTTCTCTAAATTCTTTGCTAGCCATTGAAAATGTTCAGAATCCAAATTTATCATTATTATCAATCCTGCATTAAAATACAACAGCTTACGGAATCAGATGTCCTTCTAGCAATCTATGAACTAAAAAACAAAATGGCGTGTGGTGATGATCAGATTCCTAGTTTTCTAGTAAAGGATTGCTCGAGAGTTGTATGCACTCCGCTTCTTACGTTATTTAATATTGCTTTATCAACTGGCGAATTTCTCCTGATAGGTGGAAACTTACAAGAATGTGTCCAATTTTAAAAAGCGGTAACCCTGCGGATGTAAGGAATTATCGCCCTGTTGCCATATTGTCTAACATTGCAAAGGTCTTTGAGATGTGTATGTATAAACAAATAGGTACTAGATAGGTTAAAGTCGTACATATCACCAAATCAGCATGTTTTTTTCCGAATCGTTCAACTTTATCTAATCTGACCGAGTTTACCCAGTATACGGCGAACTATGTTGATGACAAAGAGCAAGTTAATGTCTTTTACACAGACTTCTCAAAGGCCTTTGACAAGGTGAATCATAGTATATTGCTACATAAGTTTGAACGGTATGGTTTCAGTGATATCTTACTCCGCCTTTTGAATTCTTACCTATATCATCGAAAGATGTATGTCTCTTATAATGGTTTCAAGACGAATACTTTTAATGCGGCATCAGGATTATCTCGAGTAGGGTACACTCCTTTTTATATTATTTGTAAATGCGGCGGATTGTTTGTTATTGCAAGACCTTGTGGATCATGTTTATATAATATGGTGTACTGATAGTAATTATTTACCTGTTAACACAAAAAAATGCAAAGTGTGTACGTTTACTCTTAAAAATCAGCCCCTCATATTTGATTATAATATAGGTATGTCACCTTTAACTCGTTTTCAGAACTTTAAGGATCTTGGTGTAATGTTTGACAGTAGATTGTCTTTTGCTGATCATATTAATTCAAGTATTAAATCCGCGATAGTTTGCTAGACTTTGTTATAAGAAGTACAAAATCTTTTACCGATATAGGTGCATTGAAGAGACTATACTATTCACTAGTACGTTCGAAACTCGAATATTGTAGCCTTATTTGGCACCCATGTTATCAGATATACAGTAACCACTTGGAAGGAATACAGCAGCGTTTTCTCAAATTCCTGTCTTTTCGTCTTGACAATTTTTATCCTGAAAGTATGCAGTCGCTGAATACTAGAAGGGTGGTTGCAAGTTCATCTTTTTTATTTAAATTGTTTCATGACATGGTTGATTTTCAGGCTTTAATCTATCTTTTTAATACCGAGACCTGGCTCTCGAGAAGAGAGACCATTAGGGCTCTTCTTACTATAATAGAGGAGATTGTTGAGGGATTTAACAATAAAATTGTATCTCATGTTACATTATGCGATTTGACCAAAGCATTTGATTGCATCGATATTGAGACACTACTGCAAAAATTAGAATATTAAGGTATTCGCAATAATGAATTGAATCTTTTTCGAACCTATCTATTAGGTAGAAAACAGTGTGTGAGCATTGACAATAAATTATCTACTCTTCTCCCTGTTGTAAGAGGAGTTCCTCAGGGATCTGTGTTGGGACCAATACTTTTCTTGATTTATATCAACGATTTACCTACAAATATTTCTAGTGGTACTTGTGTCCTTTTTGCTGACGACACTACTATTCTAACACCAGGAAATTTGAGCACAGACAGCTTGAATGAAGCAAAAACCTGGTTTTCAGCGAATAGATTAAAACTGAATGTATCTAAGACTCAACATATATCTTTTACATCAGATAAAAAATGTGCTAAATCTGATCCTGTAAAGTTGCTAGGTATTACCTTGGACGCTGGCCTTAGATGGACAGATCATATCCGTTGTTTGTGCTCAAAGCTTGCGACCCAGATATATGTTATGAGACAGCTGCGGCCTTCTGTGGATAGCAAAGTTATGCGAATAGTTTATTTTTCATTGATTCACAGTCATCTTCTTTATGGAGTTAATTTGTGGGGTAATTCAAGTTTTGCTCTCAAACCATTTGTCATACAGAAGGCCGCTGTTCGTCTTATCGCGGGTGTACCAAACTATACTCATAGTAGGGTTTACTTCCAAAAATTTAAGATATTGCCACTCCCGTGCCTATATCTACTTGAATCATTGTATCTGGTTCATAAAAATTTGCCAAACATTCCGACACATTCTGGTGTACATGAATATAAGACTAGGCACCGTGGAGCTCTTATAGTCCCTTTCTCTAGGATTAATATAACTAGAAATAATAAACCCAAAATAGATTTATATAATAAATTGGTTCATTTCTTCAAGCACGAGAATATTAAATTAATGTCTCTCAAATCATTTTACAATTTCACTAAAAATTTTTTTATAACGAAATGCTATTTTAGTACTGATGAGTTTATTTCTGAAATGTGTTCTATTACTTGAAATGTACTGTTATGTATGTAAAAAAGTCAATAAAGTTTATTATTTATTATTATTATAGTTAAAGACTTGACTTGACTTTTTGTAATACCCTATGGAAACATTTTCTTTGAAGTTTTTGTGATACAGGGTGTTGAAATCAAAGAAAGGGTTTATGCAGATTGATTAAAATGAAAAAATCTTTAAGAAAGACGATATAGTGAACACATTTTTCCAAAACGGTAAAAACTTTGCAAAAAACTCCAGGATAAGATGTGCATTTTACAACTTCTATCCAGTGGCGTGCCATAATTTTTGAGAAAAATGTAATAATTTAATAATAATAATAATAATAATAATAATAATAATAATAATAATAATAATAATAATAATAATAATAATAATAATAATAATAATAATATCTCTACCTCTTTCCAATCTCCTAAAAGTCGGAGACTCATGTGAGAGAGGGGGCGGCACATTATTATTCAGTAGGCCGCATGTGCGCCCAGGAATGACTTACTTTGGTAAGCCCTAATCACCATTCAGTGTATGAATGAGGGAGACCTGGAAAACATTATTAATTACTTATAATTAGGCGGATAGTCAGTGACATTCATCGAATAAGTATCGATGCCTCAAACCGCTCGGCCACCGACCGACCCGAGCGCTTACCTTGTATCTACGCCACTGTTTAAAAATTGTTTTTGTACAAAATTATCTAATAGAGGTTATTTGAAAAATTGAACCTGAATAGCCTAAAAATCATATTATTATGAAACGTAAAAAGTTTAAAAAATATAAAATTGCTCTATTTGCATCAGTTCAAAAAAGATGAACAGGGGCGGAATAGTAGAAAGCGTAATAAAAAAAAATATTAACAACTAGAAATTTTCGTAAAACCATTCTATTAAACGATTAAGTAAAGATAAAATTGTCTGCGTTTGTTTATAAATATTAATAATAAAATAAATTAATTAATTAAAATGCACTCGCAAAGGAAGGACCTCTGCAATACCAGATATATGGGATAAAACTGAAGGCGCATCATGTAATTCACCATGATATAACTGCAAAAAGTCAAGGACGGTTAATTCTACAAACTCACATACTTCAGCTCATAATTCTATTATTATTATTTTTTTGTGATGACCATTATTATTTACCAGGGTAAAATCAGGTGGCAATTGCAATAATTGTAGGCAAATCGTCCCAAACAGCGAGAAATAAGTATTGTAAATAACAAATAGGCGGCTTTGAATTCATTACCTACATTTCCGGTACCACTTATTTCAACTAAGCTACAGACAGATTTATGTATGATTTTTTTAAAGGATTTACAATAACATTATCAAAGTGGCGTACCAAAATATCAACCAGAAAATAATATTTAAAAATGTATGTAAGTATATACAATAAAAAAATTTAAAGGTAATCAAAATAGGTTTTAAAAAAATGCAAAAACCATCAAATGTTTAGTCCTTTGCTAATTTAAAAAGTGAATTAATTAATTTTGAACATGTTCACTTTATTTATGAACAAATACAATTAAAAAGCACGGCATGACGCTTATCACGATTACAACAATAAATTTTAAAGGCAAAGATAATTCCAAAATTAATTCTTCAAGTTAATTCTTTATCGTGCATTCGTATGTTGAATAAAAATGCTTTTATTTATTTATATTTTTATAATAAATGTATTACTGTGTTCTAAAGTTATTTAGTCAAACATAAATAATGCAATTTTACACAAATGCAGAAATGTGTTTTATTTATGGACGTGCCAATGGCAATGGGCTTGAAGCTCGTCGTCTCTATGCTGAGACTTATCTTTCTGCTCATGAAATATTCACCAGACTTTATCAGCGTGAATATGGCTGTAACTAATATGGCAGTAAAGTGAATATGGCTGTAACTAGACTCGTGCTACTTATTACACTCATGTCATTTAGTGGTCCTGTCCGTGTTACTCATCTTCGCGATTATTGATCGCACTAAATGACGTTACGAAATAGCGCGGCAGCAAACACCCGATTAAAACCCGTTTAGTTATTAAGAAGGCTCTATAGCAAATAGGCAACCAGCGATACATTTTTATAGATTTTATTACACTATTTGTCTAAATATGAATTAATGTACAAATAACAGACTTTCCAACAATTTAACGCAGATTTTCTATAAAATGGACTTAGTTTGAAACTCAAATAACTTTTTGGTGTAAAGAAATTTGTAATTAACTATGCCGCTTGTTTAAAAGGGGCAAATTATAAATTTCTTTACAACAAAAAGTAATTTGAGTTTGAAACTAACTCAATTTTATAGATAATTTGTGTTAGAATGGAGAAAAGTCTGTTATTTGTGCATTGATTCATATACAAACTGTGTAATAAAATCTATAAAAATGTATTGCAGGTTGCCTATTTGCTACAGAGCTCTCTTAATTAAAAGCTTCTTTTTAGAGGTTGTTGATTTCTAATCTTTCACTATATGCATATATAAGATTATAATTATTTCTAGACATTCAGAAAAATATGCAAGATACCCTAATACAACATTCAACAGACAATTTGTGTTGTCATATGCTTACCGCTAAGAAGGTTTTAGGAACACTTTTCTAATTTACCATTTTCTTTCAAAGAATGGTATTATTTTTGAGAAGATTGCAGTGGCTTAGAGGTAGTGGTCCAAAAAAGATGACCAATGTCATTTGTGAAACATTAACACCCAGTATCTCGAAGAGGAAACTCATATGTCACTATCATATGAAATTTTTTTCTTTGCTTTTGAGGTTTTTCCACTTTTTTTAATACACCGCATGCAGCGTAATTAAACAGAGTATTCAAAAACATTCAAAATATAATCTCTTGTACAAAAAACGTCAAAAATAAAATATATATATATATAAAACTATAGGCAGATCTGTAAAATTTATTTAATTTCTGTAAATGTATCCACTTTTTGCCTACGCCACTGGACTTATTCGGTTTTTGATATAATATAAAATCTCTCATCAAAATCATTACTCCACGCTAGTGCAACACAAGCCAACCATGATCGCATACGCGCTTTTCTTCTTCGTCTTCGCCTCTGCAGTTTTAAATGTACACGTGAGTAAAAAATACGACCTCGGTGTTACCATTTTTCAAAAATTCAGGGATATACACTTGTGTAAAAGCTTATACCTGGATTTGTTTTTCAAAAACAAATGTTAAAGTAAGCAAACAACTATATTTTTTTACTTTTTAGTGTGACATCCTCGAGAAGAACATTACTCTAGCCGCCCAATGCATGGAAGAGACGAAAGTAACTCGAGAGGTCGTTGACAGTTATATTGAGGACCCCGAGAAAGAACCAACGGAAGACTTTTACTGTTATCTTCAGTGCGTCTACACAGGAGTCGGTTTAATCGACGAAAATGGCGACCTAGACATTGACTTGTGCAAGTCAATGTTCGTCGTGGATGTGGACTGCTTAAAGGACATGCCCAAGATCGTCAAATGCACCGACATGGAAGCTCTGTCCGAGTGTGTCAAAGATTAGTCTCCTTCGTTTATTTTGTCGTTTATTATGTGATTAAAGTTGTTAAAGCATATGTTTGCTGTTTTCCAAACCCCAGAAAAATTTACTTTTGTATCTAATATTCCCTGTCTATATTTTTATTTTAATATAAAGTTTTCTACTCCCCTTCAATTTGACAGCCATTTTTTAACACGCTGTATGTTGAACAGGTACGTATAGAGTATATTAATCACCAGGTTTGTCAGAAATCAACACACAAATAGTTTTTATAGAAAAAAATGTTCTGTCTAGTATAAGAAACTAAAGAGAGATATCTTTATAGAAACCCAAAGCAAATAAAACAAATATGGCTATTACTGTGTGTTTCAAGGTTCCCAATTGTGTTCTAATTTAATTTCAACAGTTTTTTGAGTGATGCAATTATGGAAAAAGAAATATCGCTAAGGTAATTCTGACTATAGTTATTTTATTGTTATTACTTACAACTTGTTTTCCGAGTTATTATATTAATACTCTATCTTCGACATAATTTTGCATTTGTGCACTGAGTGTATTACATAGTCTTCTTTACAAAGCAACTTTTTTTTAGAAAAACCGTTCATAAAACCAGTGAAGTGGCAACTACGTCCCGTATCAAAATATGTGTGCAACCCCCAACTCCAAAAGGAAGGTCCAGAACACTCAGCAGCGTGGACTTAGACAACTTATCTGTCTTTTGCGACGTCAAAGCGTTAGTATATTCTTTCTTAGTACGGGGGTATTCACAAATATTTTACCCCCGCCCCATCACCCACCCCCTTAACATTCTTGCCTTTCTGTCTGGAAAAAAAGACCTAATCAATTTTGCCATCTCAAAGAAATGTATAGGACATTTTATGCCAAATCATTGAGGTCGCGACCGTACCATTTTAATTTTCCTGATTTTTTGGAATTATTTTTTAGTATTCATATACAGTAGCTTCCATGAATTTTTTAAAATTGTTATTTCAATTCCTCAAGAAGTTCTGGGCATTTGAATATTTTGTGAAATCAATTTTCAAATAATTGTAATCTGGCAAAAATGAGGTATAAACTTTTTTTTCGTTTTGTTCGTTTTGAGATGTAGTTTTACAAAAAATATATAAAAATAGTACATTTTTAGTTTTTTGAAGGGTTTTTTGTTTTTCGAAAAAATCCGAAAAAATCTCAAAAAAAATCGCCTTTCAATATGCAAATTTATAAGACGGCATCTTATCCATCTTATCCATCTAAGAGTGGCATCTTTATTATTCTATTTTGTTTTCGAATTATTTTTTTTGTATTTTATTTTTTTACAGATAATGTAGGTACGCTATTAAACCAAATTTTATTATAGAAGAAAATCGCGATGACTAATTAATAAAAATATTATATTTTTAAAAATACTTCTACTAATATTCTCATTACTAAATATTTAAATTATTATTAACTAAATTCACTAATCCTGTATACACAGACCAAATTGCCATGCAACTAGTGCACTGTTAAATTTAACAACTCATGAAATTCTTTATTAAAAAAATATATCATACCAAAAAGAAAAAATACAAGTAATTATATATTATAGTATTAAAAAACATCTATCGGATAACATACTTTGTTTAATCTTTGACTTAAATATTGATAATTTACAGGTTTTAAAGTAATGGGGGATTAAATTGTAATATTTGGTAATTTGATAACAGCTCTGAAATAAAGAGTGAGATGAGTTGGTACAGATAACGTATTCTTAATTCTTATATTCAAATTGTGAATATCTGTTTTGTAATTTTATGGTAAAGATATAGTGGAGTCTTGAAACACATAAATTTATGAGACAGGCAACAGCTGTGGAGTAACTGTCTCTATTCAATTTTCAACCAACTAATTTCCTCAATTTCATGTCTTCTAACATTACATATTAATCTTACACACGAATTTTGTACTTTTTGTGAACGCATCTTGTCATATTTCCTTAAAAAGGGATAATAAACAACGTCACACTCAGTCAAATGGGGCAATACCAATGCATCACACAAGGCAATTCTATTCTCTTTACTAAGTATTTCTCTACATGCAAATATTAATTTAAAGTTACCAAATCGTTTAATAAATCATATATACTTGTTCAGTGAATTTTAACGAAGTGTCAATAGTTAAGCCTAGATTTTTAGCAATTTCTGTTGATTGCAATTGATCACTGCATAATTTAATATTGACACTATTTTTAAGTCGCGCTCTAGCAGAACGTGGGCCAAGTTCGGATTTAGAAGGGTTAATAGAGAGGCAAAATTTGTTGAAACATTTAAAAGGGAATTTAAGTCATCCATAATTCTTTGATTAGCTAATTATATTAGACCAGGCGGTATCTGTTTTGGTTTGGGTGAATCGTATATCCACGGAGATTTTTGGCTTTTTGGCTTTCAAATATCACTAGAAATGTTTGCAATTAAATTTTTTACAAAACATGTCTAGTTAAAAAGCAAATGAATCATGATTATTATGGTAAAAATCGACAAAATCGCAAAAATGGGGTTAAAAAACAAAATTATTTGGGAATTTTTTTGGGGTATTTATATTGGATATAGGACCTTTATACTTGGCTCAAGAAAACTTCATGTAATGTAGAATTATCACACCAAATTTCATCAAAATCGGTTCCATAGATTTTGCATAATAATTTTGCAATCCAGATTTTGAAAAAAAAATTGCAAATTTTCAAAATTTTGCACAGCAGAAACCAAGGCCCTTAGATACTTGAAAATTTAATCACATATAGAAGGGCTCTCAAGCTTTCAAACGCTTTTTGAAAAATTCGAATCCGTCAATTAGGAGAGCTCTGGCGCTTGTTTAAACATTGGTCGAATTTTTGTACTTATAAACAATTAGAATAACTTTGTGAATATTCAATCAAATCAAATTTTTTAAAGCAGGTTTTAAAAGTTCTTGGAAAGACGCTTCTTTAAAAAAAAACAGATCGATTGATCAATTAGTTACGTAGTTATAGCCGATTCAATTTCGAGCAGGCCGAAGCGGCCGCGCTCTCTGCTTCCCCCACCACCACCACCCGTACGATTTTATTGAATTTCTCGCTTGCATAAATAACTTTAAACACGTTTTAAAGTAGGTTGCCAATGAAGAAAAGTATTGTAATCTTAGACCTGGTAAGTACTCGGAATACCAAAGGTATTTTTCGAAAAATTAGCCCGGATGTCCCAGTACATTTAGTGTAAATGACGGCTATAACTACGTAACTAATTGATCAATCGATCTGTTTTTTTTTAAAGAAGCGTCTTTCCAAGAACTTTTAAAACCTGCTTTAAAAAATTTGATTTGATTGAATATTCACAAAGTTCTAATTGTTTATAAGTACAAAAATTCGACCAATGTTTAAACAAGCGCCAGAGCTCTCCTAATTGACGGATTCGAATTTTTCAAAAAAAGTTTGAAAGCCTGAGAGCCCTTCTATATGTGATTAAATTTTCAAGTATCTAAGGGCCTTGGTTTTTGCTGTGCAAAATTTTGAAAATTTGCAATTTTTTTTTAATCTGGATTGCAAAATTATTATGCAAAATCTATCGAACCGATTTTGATGAAATTTGGTGTGATGATTCTACATAACATGAAGTTTTCTTGAGCCAAGTATAAAGGTCCTACACCCAATTTAAATACACCAAAAAAATTCCCTAAAAAGTATTGTTTTTTAACCCCATTTTTGTGATTTTTTCGATTTTTACCATAATCATGATTCATTCGATTTTTAACTTGACATGTTTTGTGAAAAATTTAATTGCAAACATTTTTTTCCTCTTCCATTTTCGCCTAAAATCAACTCTTGAAAAGATACATAATTAAATAGGAAGAAAAATATGACATTTTTCGAATTTTTTTAACATATTGTGCCGGCAAAAGTTAAGCCCACGCTTTTTTTTATGCGCATAGAAAAATTTTCATTTCTAGTGATATTTGAAAGCCAAAAAGCCAAAAATCTCCGTGGATATACGATTCACCCAAATATGGCTTTTTGAAACAGATACCGTCCGGACTATATGTTAGATTCTGCAAAAGAATCACAATACAACTAAGTGTCGTCAGCATAAAAGTGTGATTTACAATAAGATATAACATTTATAAATTGAGAAGTATAAATCGTGAAGAACAAAGGACCTAAAATGGATCCCTGAGGAACACCACAGTTTACCATTTGATAGTAGATAGTAGATTCATTTATTTATCAATTTTACCGCAGACATAATTGATAGAATAAAAAACATACTTTCTAAAACAATCTATCAATCTAACACAATCTAAAAAATCTAAAAAATAACTAATTATTGACCTATCTTAAAAGATATATGGAGTTGAAAATAACTTCTTCCACCTTTAAAGGCATATTTCTTGCTAATAAACAATTGCTCCTAATTTAGTTTTTCAGTGGAGTTGAAAATAACTTTTAAACTATTTTTTTATGCATTTACAAATTTAAATGCCTTTTTGTTGAAAACTGTTGACTCTAGAGATATTAGAAAGGTATACCTATCTTTTTTTAAGCAGAAAAGTTGGAGGAACAGATTTTTCCGGACCAAAGTGAAATACACCGTGGCACAAAAAAGTTTTGGCAGTTTAAATGCGTCCTAAGGGAATTTCTTATTCCAAAAAAACCCCAGATTTTAAATTTAATGAATTAACTCAAAGTAGACGAAATATGTTATTTATTTTTTCAGCTTTGACACTCTGTCACTCCGTTATTAGTAATTTTTGGACTAAGGTAAGTTTAGTTAAATCGACTTATTTTGAGCCCTACTATATCTGGTGGAGTGTTGTACAGATCCTTTAGAGGCGCCCTGTATATCCCAAGCAAGTTTTTTTATAATGCCCTGTTATCCACCTATCTGATAGTACCAACTGCATTCAACGTAATCTCCCTTGATCATATTAATTATTTTATTTTTAATTTTTTACTATAACTTTTAGAAGCCCCCGTAAAAAGAACTGCAGACAGGTAAAATTAGGATTTCTTGCAACCCATAAAATTAACTCTTCATTAGAAAAATTTATTTAAAAAAATCTGACTAGAACACACCGAGACTATAGTAAAATCACTCTTCATAATCTACTAGTTTTTTCTTAATAACATGTTTAAGATTCTGTTTAGTAAATCTAGGAGGGAAAAATCATAAATAGCAAACCAAAATATTATGCAAACTGTAGTCACAAATAAATTCCTAAAACTTTAGCTTTTATCTTCTTTCTAGACGAAAGGCCAAGAAAGAAAAATGTGATTTGACACTTGATAAAGACATTAATCCATTGTCATGAACTGTTTTAGGAATGCCCCCAAAGACGACAAGAGAAAGGATTTAAGACTTTTCGCTAAAGTGTTCAAAATCTTTTCGCTGGTCTTGATCTGGATCGTCTGCAGCTTCGCCCTGATGGCTAACAACGAAACAGTGCAGGATATGCATCAGATAAGCATACCTAGGGATTCCATCTCCAGTGAGTGTTATCAGGATGTTAAAACGTACATTTGTGAATTACGTATCTATTTTATAATTAGTGTGTTTACTTTTACTATCAAATTTGATTATAATAGCGCGTGTATTACTGTTAATGTCGATAATATATATTAAAAAAAAATCGATTAGTTCTTGCGTAGTTCGATAGACCTCTTAATGGCGTGTTAATTTCTTTATATCTATAATGAATGGTAATTTATTCTAAAACAACAAATTATTGCAAGGAAATTGCTGTAGAGGTTAAAATTTAACTGTTGCGTGACGCTTGTCTTGTTGACAATAACGTAGATAGCAAAAAAACGTTTTTTAACATTTTGCAGAATTTATGTACCTAATAACAGACGAATTTAATAATTATGACACGCGGGATTATTTTTTACACACAGGATTGCAAAAAGGAATTACAAATTGCACATTATTTTTGTCTGTTTACTTTCAGGCTATATAATTTTCAAAAAACCCCAAAACAGCAAGCTGAAGGTGGTGTTGGAGGGGGCTTTACTACCCCCATACTACAGTAACTTGTCCACGGATTGGCTAAGTGTTTGGGTTCAACTTATGGTCATCAAACAGAAGCCTTTGAACCCGTCCAGTATTAAATCCTCAGACGTAGTTTTATTGCAGGTAAAATGGGATATTTTTGAACTTCTTAAGTATATCAGGAAATGAAAATAGGTTCTGTTATTTTGCGACTTTTGCAATCTATGGGGTCAATACAGCATAAAAGACTTCAGATTTGGATTTAACACATCAAAATATATAAGAAACCCACTTGATCAAGTTCAGAACAAATTTTTTCGAATTTTTTTGCGTTCACTAACGTAATTTTCGATAGATACGCATCAAGTTGAGAGTGAGACAGGCATAGTAGGACATTAGGTTCAAACAGAATGATCTACAGTGCTGGCATGGTGTCGTTGCCAGTGCGCATCTGAAATTCGCGGATAAGATGAATATAATATCTTAGATTGCAGCTTGCAGCAGCAACATGCTTATAGCACCACTGCTTTCATATTTTATGAGCAATTTAAAATTGCAAATGGGGTAATGAGAAATAAGGTTAATTTGTTGTAATGTACTTACAAATTAAAAATAATTCATAACATTATAATTAGAATTTCCAGATATTAATAAATATAGTTTTATAAAATAAAGATGTATGCTTACACATAACACACTGTTGTAAATAAAATGTAAAATGTAGTTACAAAACATTTAAACAAATATTTTATCGACATGTCAACTGAATGTTCACAAGAAAAGCGTATAATGTCAATTCTCTATACAGGGTGTTTTTCACAACAAATTGTTAAAAATTTGTACATTCTTAAAAATCATATATTGCTTAATTGCAATTTCTATACAGGGTATTTTTTAAACGAAGTAGCAAAAATGGTACTAGTGAATGTAGAGCCAAAAATAAGAGGATTGAAGTAGAAATACCTTATATGAAAGTTGCACCCTTGAGGCGATATACCCTCTTAGGAGGGGAATTAAATTCACATTTTAATTTTTATCTTTAACATGAGGAATGCTAGAGACACGAAACTTATGTATGAGCATCCTACTAATAAAGAGACAACTTTTCAATATTTGTTCGATCATTGGCATATTTTATAAAGGAGTGAAACAGTCAACCCCAATGCAATATTTTATTAGAAATTTTTTATATGAAGCAAATTATTTATTTAAAAATATTTATTGGGAAGACTGATTTATTGCGCAACTTTTTTACCTCTTGTAATTTTTCGATAAAACCGATAGTTTTCTAGTAAAAAAATTAGATGCGTCATCGTTCACTAAAGGGGTAATTGCGAAAATTTGTAAAAATAAAGTAGGCGGATGTCATAACAAATAAATTGTTATTTATCATATTAATAAATTGACACTTTCTGTCAACCAATAATTAGTACCAATTGATTAATTTATTATCAGAATAATTATGGCAAATAATATTTATACCAATGACGAATATGTCGACATGCTCCAAGTGTTTTTCGAATCCAGAAAAAATAGTAACGCTGCAGTAAGATTATACCACCAAAGATATCCAAACCGACCGATTCCTCATAGACAAACATTGGCCTCGGTGGAAAGAAGGCTTCGCGAAACTGGTAAAATTCAGCCCAATCGTGAGGGTGCCGGAAGAAGGCGTAATGTCCGAACTGTTGAAACTGAGGAAGCTATACTGGAACATCTAGAACAAGACTGTGGTACAAGCACAAGACAGGTGTCCAGGCAACTGCAAGTTTCTCACAGTCTTGTGTGGAATGTAGCTCATGAAAATCTTTTATACCCTTTTCACCATCAACCCGTGCAAGAATTGAATGACCCTGATTTACCTAACCGCGTGGATTTTTGTCAATGGTACATTAATATTTCCAGGCATGACTTAAATTTCCTAATGAATATACTTTTCACCGATGAAGCAAATTTTCCTAGAGTAGGTGCAGTAAACCTTCATAATGTTCATTCATGGTCGGAAGAAAATACTCATGAAATATTTGTTTCAAGATGTCAACATAATTTCAGTTTAAACGTTTGGATGGGAATTGTAGGAAATACTCTAGTAGGTCCTTTTATTCTTCCACACAGGCTTGGAGCGGCCGAGTATCTTAGATTTTTGAACGAAAATCTTCCAACATTACTTGAGGATGTACCCCTCGCTACACGTCAGGTGATGTGGTATATGCACGATGGGGCGCCTGCACATAGTACACTTGCCGTTAGAGAATGGTTAAATTTAAATTACCCGAATCGCTGGATTGGTCGTGGTCGTGATGCCCCTGTTTGTTGGCCTGCACGTTCACCTGACCTAACGCCTATGGATTTCTTTTTGTGGGGACACATAAAAAGTATTGTTTATGCCACTCCTGTTGCCTCCTTAGAAGAACTACGCTTAAGAATATTTCAGGCAGCAGATGACCTTCGCAATAACCAAGAACTGTTTGTGCGAGTGCGTTATAACTTCAACAGACGTATTAGGTTATGCTTGCAGCAAAATGGAAATTATTTCGAGAATATTCTTTAAATTTAATTTTGCATTTCCTGTTTTTCGTTTGTATTAAATATTATTTCAGATAAATAACTTTACCTAACACATGACCCATAGTCATAAGTTATCAAACATTTTTCATTAATTAATAGCAAATTATTCTTAATGTTATCATTAAATTACCAGCTTATTGACAGAAAGTGTCAATTTATTAATAAATAACAATTTATTTGTTATGACACCCGCCTACTTTTTTTACAAATTTTCGCAATTACCTTTCGCAATTATTAGTGAACGATGACGCATCTAATTTTTTTACTAGAAAACTATCGATTATGTTGAAAAATTACAAGTAAAAAAGTTGCGCAATAAATCAGTCTTCCCAATAAATATTTTTAAATAAAATAATTTGCCTCACATAAAAAATTTCTAATAAAATATTGCAATGGGGTTGACTGTTCCACTCCTTTATAAAATACGCCAATGTTCGAACAAATATTGAAAAGTTGTCTCTTTATTAGTAGGATGCTCATACCAAGTTTCGTGTTTCTAGCATTCCTCATGTTAAAGAAAAAAATTAAAATCTGAATTTCTATCCCCTCCTTTAAGAGGGTGTATCGCCTCAGAAGTGCAACTTTCATATAAGGTTTTACTTCAATCCTCTTATTTTGGCTCTACATTCAATGGTACCATTTTTGCTACTTAATTTATTAACACCCCCAACGAGTCCTCACGGGCAAAACATGAGAGATTCGCCTGTAGTGTACGTGCCTCTTTACAAGTTCACTTTTGTCTAACTTCGCCAAATTTAATATTTTTTATTTTTATTAGAACGTTTCTGAAACGTGGGATGTACCTGTAGTAAGTGAAAAGCTCATCGGACACGTACCCGAGGTCCAGCACAGGAACATCTTCCATCTCACGTCCACCAAGGTGGACAACGTGTCCTTCAACTTGTTAAGGGTACAATTCAGGACCAACCTGAAGGCAAATTTCCCGGTGTCGATGGGGTATAACCTCCAACCTATCAACCCAGACGACGGCATCGTCTACGCAGCTCTGGTGCTATTGGGGCTCTACGTTCTCATCATTTTCGAGGTAGGTAAAAGTTAGGAACATGTATTATTGGTTTAAAACCGTCTTTATAGTACGCACAGGATAACTGGTCTAATTCTTGTTATATTAATGCCGCTGACTCAAAGAAAAGGGCCCAAAACAGACCCTTGAGTCATACTATGCCATTGAATTGAATTCATTTATTTATTTCAGCTTACTCACAGAACTCTGGCGGCCATGTTGGCCAGCACCATGTCAGTGGCGATTTTGGCAGCTTTAAACGAAAGACCCACCATGGAAGAGATAGTATCCTGGATAGACATAGAGACGCTCCTGCTGCTCTTCTCCATGATGACGCTGGTGACCATCTTCGGCCAAACTGGGATCTTCGATCACACCGCTGTCTACGCTTACAAGGTGCAACTTGTTCTATAAGTGCTCGATTTACTCATATTTTCTTTTTTTTAGCTAACTGGTGGGAAAATGTGGCCTCTTACGAATATACTCTGCATTTTAACTGCTCTGTTCTCTTGTTTTTTGGACAATGTAACCACAGCTTTACTAATTACACCAGTAACAATCAAGTAAGTGGAACAATAGTGGTACAACATTACTTTTAGTCTTTGTACTATGTAAGTAATTTTTTATCAAAGTTTAAGGACAAGTAGATTATCAAAATAAACGACAGTTTGATATTATTCCATTCGAAACATGTTTTTCGTTTTAAATACATTGTATTAAAGTACATATTATTAAAAACATATATTTTCAATATTTCCGAACGTATCTACAATGATTTATTTTTTTGTGAAAAGGTTGTTACCATACGGGCTTATTCGCTAAACGTATTTTCAGGCTTTTAGGTATGCCAGTATTGCAGCTTTATTTTAAAAAGATAATAATAATATCCGTTGACAAAATACAAAAATTATTCTTTTTTACTCATTTTATAATAAAAAAATTTCTTGGTAAGTCTGACTGGGAAAAAACATGTTTATAATATGGAATTGGTGTAACTCATACACTTCTATTTATTAAAGTAGGCCTTAAATTTATGAGTAATTAAAAAAGTAATAAAACACGATCAAATCTATGCGAAAAACCCAAGTGTGTTGGTTTTATTGTAAAATGGACACAGAAATTAAAAAAATCATTTTAATATTTAAAAAAAAAAACATTTTGAAAAGTGCCTCTACTGCAAAAGGAGTTCTGCAAAATTTCAGAAATGCGTAATTCTACAATTTAAAAATATTTGAGAAAAAGATTTTTTTAAGAAATTATATCTCAAAAAGAAACATTACCCATTAATATTTTTAATAATCAAAACTGGTTGGGGTGTTTAAAATTACTTAATAGTAATCAAAATTATTAAAACTTATTGAGGACCTCTGGAATCATCTCCGACTTACATACTACATAAAAAGAGGTAAATAGTTGTAACTGTAAAAGGGTTATCTTCTGCTTTTTTGTACTGCTTTTCGTAGTAACAAGAAGCATGGCTGATTTAATAATAATAATTTCTTCTACTTTAGTTTTCATTATCGAAACATGTGTCTTATATTGTGAATATTGTAAATATTGTGAATACAGCGGTTCCAAAAAAGTATTCGTACTACCAATGTGGTATGTCACTATGTAAAAAAAATGTATGTACAGTGAGTCCCGTTTTTCAGGTTAACACTTCTGGAAATGTGAGAAGGCTGTGGACTTTCCGCAAGCCAATTTTTTAAGAAATAGTATCCTGAAGAGAGATTATATTCTACTAATCATTTTATTGATGTACCAAAAGCCTGGCCTACTACGATTTTTTAAAAGGGTCATTTTTCCAGAAAGTGGTATTAGACATTTTTTTATCAAGAAGATAATATTACCAGGCTATTCAACACCCATCAAAATACCCATGTACCAAATTTGCACGACAAATGTATATTGGCTGTTTTTTTATGTGGTGCCAAACTTTGAAAAATCAGACAGCTAAAAATTGTAATAAGCAGGTCATGAAAGATTACCATGAAGGTGAAAACAAGTACCAATCCGAAAAAGAAAAAATACAGACAACATTAACATTTTTAATTGCGGCCGTAGTAAAATTAATAATTAACGTACAAAACATGTAGGTAATGAATTATAAATATTAAGTTGTTAAACAAAAAATTGCAAAACAATTTAAATTAAATTTTAGTTTTCTCGAACTATGGACTTTTACTTTTTACAAAAAGTTTATAAAAACAGACCAAGGAATTTGGATGACCTAATGAATTGCATAAGACAAGCTTGTACAGAGATTATTCCACAACGGCTATGTAAATTATTTTTAAATTTAAGAAGAGGATTGGAAAAATCTGTTCGACAGGAAGGAGGTTTGGTGGAGAAAACTAAAACTTAATTTAGATTAACGTTTTGCAATTTTTTTGTTTAAGAACTTAGTGTTTACAATTCATTACATTTTTTGTAAATTATTTTTATAATCAATTACTTAATTAATTAATTAATTAATATAATTAAAAGTATTAAATTTATAGTGCCTGCATTTTTTCTTTGTCCGATTGGTATTTGTTTTCACTTTCATAGCAATCTTTGACCTGCTTATTATAATTTTTAGTTGTCTGATATTTCGAAGTTTGGCACCACATAAAAAACAATCAATAGACATTTGTCGTTCAAATTTGGTATATGAGTATGTTAATGGGTCTTGAATAGCCTAGTAATATTATCTTTTTAATAAAAAAAAAATGCCTAACACTACTTTCTGTAAACGACCCTTTTAAAAAATCGTAGTATTTAATAAAAACAAGTCAAATTTCATTTTTTTAGGTTATGTGAGGTTATGAAGTTGAACCCAAGGCAAATCTTGATGTACACCTTAATATTTGCGAACATAGGGGGCGCTATCACCCCGATCGGAGATCCACCGAACGTGATCATAGCCAACAACCCAGCTGTCATAAAATCGGTAATCTAACTAATATTTTTTGTAATTCGATTGTATTTTCTGGATTTAGGGCATCAACTTTGGGATATTCACCCTACATATGGGCCTAGGAGTCCTTATAGCGCTCACGGTGGTCTACATACAGTTAAGAATCACCTACAGGGACATGGTGTATTATAAATTCGATGAGCCTCCCGTGGTACAGGGTACGTAACGTACGTTTCGCTTTTCACGAGACTCAGCAGTAAGGATTACAGGTTTGAAAAGGGAAATAGCCGTGTGGGAGAGGACAGCTGCTTCTGTAGGGAGTTACAGTAAAGATGAGGACGTGGTCAAAGAGTCCTTGATCAAAAAAATGACCAGGTTACAGGATAAACTCAAACACACAGTGAACAAGAACATCAACGCGGTCGAAGAGGATTACAAAGCTAATGTAGTGGATTTAGAGAAGCAGGTACGGTTTTCTAGTAAAAATATAAAATAGATGCATCACTTCTTTTTCTAGTATCCAATAAAAGACAAGGGTCTGTTAATAAAATCTGGGATTACGTTGGCATTGGTCATATGCGTGTTTTTCCTGCATTCCATCCCAATGATGAGTGAGTAAACAAATACCTTCTGGCTTTTGCCAAGATTACAACATCTTCATATTCCAGGTAGGCTAGGACTTGGCTGGACAGCCCTGTTGGGAGTCCTGCTACTTCTTCTTCTATACGACAACCACGACTTAGAAGGCATATTCGCAAGGGTCGAATGGTCCACCCTTTTGTTTTTCGCTTCGCTTTTTATACTCATGGAGGTGAGCGACTAGGAAATTGAATGTAGTGAAATATTACTTGAGACGTGTTCCAGGCTTTAGCTCGTTTGGGTTTGATAGTCTGGATAGGGAAACAGACCGAGTACGTGGTGATGTCTGTAGCACCCGAATCCAGACTAGCAGCAGCCATCGTCCTCATCTTGTGGATATCGGCGATAGCCTCGGCTTTTGTGGACAATCTACCACTGACTACTATGATGGTCAGGATAGCCGTGGATTTGTCCAACAACAGCGATCTCCATCTACCCCTACAACCCTTGATTTGGTCCTTGTCTTTCGGAGCTTGTCTTGGTGGTGAGGAGAAAATAATAAATTTTACTTTCTGTACACTCATCAAAAAATTATATAAATTACAAACTAGGTTAGTTTGACATCAAATTAGATACTGTGAAATCACCTTAAGTCGCACTAAGCATGTAATTTTGCAGTTTTTCTGTAATTCAATCAAATGGGTATATCTACGACACACTATGGTACAAAATTCATTTGATCATGTTATACTGTTGAATATTGTTGAAACTCAAGGGCTCAGAGTTAAAGCATTCTTTCTTTAATATTATCTGTTACTTAAATTTTAATACGCATAAATGAATACTTGAGTGTTTTGAGTTTGGAACTTAGCAAATCTGATCAGGTCAAACGGACCTCGAATTCGGACTAAGCGACCTCAAAAACGTACAGATACATTGGTTTACTTTGTTGGCAATTGATTCTCTACATTTGACCTTGAATTGACCTTAATGCAGACTTGATCGGATCAAACGGACACCGGATTCGGATAAACCGTCCCGAAATGTATAGATATGGAGGTTTACTTTGTTGGTAAATGGTTCTCTACATTTAACCTTGAACTGACCTTAATGCAGACCTGATCGGATCGAACAGACACTGATTTCGGATTAAGCAACCCCAAAAACATATAGATACCAGGGTCTTGTCTTTCAAATATTCCACTTTTTTCTGTGGGACTGTGAATTGACAAAATCGCATCGACTATCCATTTCTATGTCATACTCGAGTTTTCTTTCTCTTTATTTACTTATTGCCCTTTACTGTTCTACTTATATGTACTTTTCCAAACATTATTTTTACTTATTTTATAATAAGTGCAATACTCTTTTCACTTTTTGTTCGACATTAACGAAATAATTGAATTAAGATTTATTGCAACTTTTACTTTGTTCATATCGTAAAATTGAAAGCGCATATGTTTTTTTTTTCATAATATTATAGTAAATTGATCATAGATTACGGGTCAATAAGTAATTTAGCCTTATAGTGCCTTATATATAACTTTTAAGTTCACTTTTGAATGACTTTCGTAATAAATTTAAGCATTATTTGTGATAAACAATAATGAAAATAAGTGGACAATGAATAATTTATAATGTTGAAATACTTTACATACCTCCTGGAACAACGTCCATTTTATTACTACTATATCAGAACAATAAATAAATTTTTACAGCACTTTGAACGAGACACACACAATAAGGTTACTTCGACTTCAAATTCTAGCTCAAGTATAAACGGCAAACTGTTTCTACCTGTCAATTTGAATAGCCCAACTATCCCTATTGCCAACCTGATACTTAAAAAATTCCAAATAGAAACTTTTTTTTCATTTTTGGCCAGCTTTTAGGCAATTCGTACCATAGTGCGACACCCAAAATGTCATTTTACTAATAGGCCAGTCAATAGAGGTTTTGTTTATGGCAAAAAATACTAGTAGCAAACGGACTATGCCATCATACCTGTACCTGTATAAGACAGTCTGCAGATATATGCTTATATGTTTCCTACTCCAATTTACCATTAATTAATATTTTATAAACATTTTTATGCAAAAAATCTCATTTTTTTTGTGTTTTGCTTATAAAACCTAAACCAACGAAGCAATCTGAATGTTATGAAGAGCCGATTTGTAGAAAATTTAGTACGAATAATACGAAAGGTCGATCGATCCGATCGGATAATTAGAAATGAAGAAAACCCGGAAAAATCGGAAAATTTAGCGTTATTTTAAAATTCATTGCTCCGTCATTTTTTAAGTTGTAGAGCTGATCCTGTGCACAAAAGTAGTGAAATATATGTACTTACCTGTAGTTTTTATTTGGCACAATTGCAATTTGAATTTTTTGGTGCACTTTTTTGCAAAATTTCTGGATACGTTGGAGGTGGTTCAATTTTAATTTTTCAGCCGGATTGTAAAAGTACTACAGAACGTATATTCTAATTTACCGATAAAATGATGCGAAATAGGTGAAAAATTCCTTCAAACATGCTCAAAAACGACCGAGCGCGCGTACGCGGTCGAGTAGTGGGAGATCGTTTTATTCGTATTTCGATTCTCTACAAATTGTCACTTTACAGCATTCAGATTGCTTCGTTGTAAGCAAAAAACTTTTAAAAATGCATTTTTTGCACAGCATGCGATTTTACGTATTTATATCTTTTCAAGGCAAGGTATGACGTACCTATTGAAGGAAAAAAACATTAAATAAATTTGAAAAAATTTATTAATGCATCACATGTCATTCCCTAGAGTAAAATATAAATATTTGAATAATATATAAAGGCAAATAATACAGGATATATTTAAAATAATTAATTGAACCGCTCTCTTAAAAATGAAAAAGTTGACACACCACAAGTTTAAATTGACAAAGTTACACACTTAAATATATATTATGTAATTTCTGTATAGAATCAAAATACCTATGTACACCTACCTCTTATTTAAATGACAAAACACTATAGCTAGTTAATTTTTTTAGTGAAGTCTTTGTCCTTGAGTTAATGAACTACCAAATTCGTTTTTATACTCTAGACGACAGCATGAAACCTGAATTAATCTTAGGTCTTTTTAACAAATAATTACGTAAATTGTCTGAAACAACTGGGAGACATCAATCTTCAATAATGTGGGGGTTAATTAAACTATTAACAAAAACATTTTTTATTTATTTCCTTGGGGAAAAGCTCTGCTGATATTATAATTATATAAGATTTTTTCTGTCCATGAGGCTTTTGCCATAGTTTTTGCTTGTATTTTGAATCTTTGAGTGATTTCAAGCTGAAGGGCCATTTCTTTTGAGAACATTAAATTGGAAACAAAATATAGTATAAGTGAACAATAGTAAAATAGGTCTTATGGTAAATTACCTGACACCTGGGTACAAAATACAAGGTTCAATATTTTTAATATGGATTTTCCTCACATTTTTGAATGATGCTAAATGATTTACACGAACTTCTGGATTTATTGTATTTAGGCAGTTAAGAAACTACGCCACAAATGAATCTAAACATGTGATCTGCTAGACCGCTAGCAAAGTTCTCTGTTCACATACGGTAACAACACACCAGATGATAACCTGTTTGGTTCAGCCAAAAGTCAGCGTAAATATACACTTTTTTCGTATATTTACATTGTATACAAGCCCAGGCTCATAATAGTTCGGCCAGGTATAGTTTTACTACTAATATATTTAAATAAAAGTAATAACACTCTCAAATGAAAAATACAGGTATAGAAACAAATTATAAACTTTTAGCTTAAATACGATTAAATCTTACTACGCAATGATGTGTCAATGTTCGTATAAGAAAAAGTGTTTGAAATTAACCCGGCTAACACCTGTCAAAGTTTGTCATAGAGCTTGTAGAACACCCTGTATATCTTGTATATCACGGACCTTAACAAGTAATATAGAAAAATACACTGAGTAGCTGATATTTTTATAGTCGTAACTGATATGTATGCGTTGATCAAGGTTGCCATATCTCCTTATTATCTATCTGCAATTGAAGACTTACCAGAAATTTAAAACTGGATTGTCCACGTCTGCTGATACCCTAAGGGTGATTTCGTTTAACTGCATATTTGCTACCTTTTATAGTAGGCATAAGCGTCACCGGGGCATTTTTAAAAGGGATTAAAATTTTTTATCGCAGTATACTTTCCTTTGAATAAAAATTTCTTTAAAAAATGCTGAACAAAAGCTTTAAAAACCAAAACATTCTACCGTTTTATCCGGTCATCTTTTGACACTTTCCTTGAAATATTTACGTGCCCCGTTGCCCCTCTCAAGAGACGCCCATGGTAAAGAGTTTTAAACGCTTGCATCTCCAGTTTATGTGTTTCGCAGTCCTTGACATTTAGTTGTCTGAGAAAAATTGTGACAAAAACAAAAGACAAAATTAAAGGTGTGTGCTGCATTTCAATTATACAGCGTGATCGTTTAAAGAGCGGCTATATTTCAGACACCATTTACCTACACTACGTTTGTGAGGTAAAAAACTAAGTAAAACTTACTGTCAAAAGTTTAAATCACTGTTGTTTCTAATAGATCATTGACCATGAAGAATTTCTCAGTATTTTTACTAGATCGATTTTCGACTTTATGTACTTTGGACATAAGTGCCAAAAAAATGTCTTCTTTGTCATGACCTTAAATATCGCGATATTCTGGCAGTATTAGAAATAGTCCGGTCAATCTAGACATTCAAAGATACATAAATTTACAACAAGCTGAAAGTGAGTAAAGTTGTTCAAAACATAATTAAAAATAACATATTAAAATTCCTTATCGTTCTGGTACTCGGAAAAAAATTTACTCGAGGTCAAAGGTAAAAAAATGGGTTTTTCGCGATTTTCAGCTAAACGGTAAGTTTTATCATAAAATTACATCTGACAAAAATTGTAGATCATAAAATTATCTATAAAAAATATATCAATACTTTTTTTCGTAAGAGCCACCGTTTCTGAGATATAACGATTCAAAAAGTTGTAAAAGTTGTAATCGTCATAATATGCACACGTTTTCACGCCATCGCCACCTATGAGATAGTGTACTTAGCGCGTTTTTTTTAACGTGGTTTCCCCAGTAGGCCTATTCCACAGGTCTGTTGTGATTCTGTTTAGTTTGAAACTGTTGCATAATAACAGATATTAGCAAGGGTTGGAAAGCGATGGAAATTAAAAAAAGTAGAGGAATTTATTCGTCTGATTCATAACCTTCAAATACTTCTTCTTGCTCTTCTTCTTGATCTTCCTCTTCTTCTTCATTCTGGGTGTAAGTAAATTGCGTCAATAGTGATGTATCGCATATCTCCTCGTTGGCATCAAACGAATCCTCTGCGGTTGGTGATTCAACATTAGAACACGACCGGCCTTGACAATTATTTGTACATGCCAGAGAACAAAACAGTCCAACTTATTTGCAACCACATTTAGCACTGCATCCCTTTTTACAGTTGCAAAAAATTGTGTTTAGCAGTTTTTCCGGCGCAGGTGGGAGTAAAGTCTGAATTGGTTCTAATGTATTGTCGACCATCATCCAACCCCAGTCTTTTGGGTCTAGCTAATAACCAAGCCAGACTTGTACTTGGTAATATACCCGAAAAAGATGTTGATGAGCAGCAACTGAGGTTGGAGAAAGACAAGCTAATTGCACTTCTAATTGCATTCTAACATAAAGCAGGTATACGACCCTAGCCACGCACATAATTGAACAGGGAGACAGATGTTGTTACACTGGCGTATAAATTAAGGGGTTGGGTTTCATTTTACCTGATATTCTCATAGTTATACTTGTGTATATTTTATATTTTAAGTGTAAGTTACAATCACCGATGGTAAATTTTTTTACTTATATTACAGCTTCAGAGATGTATATACGTGGCGTACTTATGCATATTATGATGATTATAACTTTTACAACTTTTGAATCGTTATATCTCAGAAACGGTGGCTTTTAGGAAAAAAATTGGAAATTTTTTATAGGCAATTTTATGGTATACAATTTTTGTTAGAGGTAATTTTATAATAAAACTTACCGTTTAGCTGAAAATCGCGAAAAACACATTTTTTTGACATTTGACCTCGAGTAAATTTTTTTCCGAATACCGGAACGATGAGGAATTTTAATATGTTATTTTTAATTATGTTTTAAACAATTTTACTCACTTTCAGCTTGTTGTAAATTTATGTACCTTCACTCTTATTTTTTGGTCTAATTTGACCGGACTAAAATATTTAAGAAGTTTCAAACAAATTAATAGAATTATAGAATTTATATATTTAAATTTATAGAACAATACTAACTCTCATAGTAATTAATAATTAAAATTATATCGATGTTACAACGATGCAACGCATCGAAATCTTGATATTGCTTGGATGTGGAGACAAAATAAGAAGTCAGCCGAAAACCAAATCTCGCAAGGGACAGTTAGTAAAATATTTCACAAATTTGAGGAACACGGTACAGTACAGACTTTGCCCAAAACTGGTGCTTTGAATGAAGAAAAGAAATTAGACATTGCATTAGAACTTGTTGAAAATCCTCATACTTCAACTGTTTCATTGGCTCGCAATCACGATGCTTCTCGAACTGCAATTCGAATGTTTCTGAAACAATAGAAATACCACCCCTATAAGGTATGTCTTGTCCAAGAGCTTTTGGAAGACGATTATGATAGGCGATTACAATTTTGTGAGGAAATGATGAGACGGTGTGACGACAATAATGGTTTTCAACGAGACGTACTTTTTTCGGATGAAGCTACGTTTTATTTAAATGGAGTGGTTAACAGGCACAACTATCGCTTTTGGTCCCAGGAAAATCCACACTGGACATGCGAATCGCATACGCAGCATCCACAAAAAGTTAATGTATGGGCAGGTATCATCAACAACAGAATCTTGGGCCCATTCTTTTTTGAAGAAAATCTTACTGCCGCACGCTACCTGGATTTCCTAACATTTGACCTGATACCTGCTCTAGCTGTGATTTTCCCTCATGAAATTGATCCAGATATACCGAATGAAAGAATTTGGTTCCAACAAGATGGCGCTCCCCCACATTTTGGTATTGATGTTCGAAGATACTTAGATGAAATGTTTCCAAATCGCTGGATTGGTAGACGGGGTACAGTTGAATGGCCGCCAAGATCCCCCGACTTAACACCCCTGGATTATTTTCTTTGGGGATATTTGAAAGAAAGAGTCTACCAGGACAGACCGGATAATATTGAGAATTTAAAGAACAAGATTAGGGCGGAGATGCATAATTTACCAGCTGAAGTCATTCAGAATGCTGTGGACAGCTTTTACTATCGTCTTGGAGAATGCCAAATAGTGAATGGAGGACATTTTCAGCATTTGCGACATTGAGTTTATTTTTGTAAATTATCTAGTTGTTTCAATTTCTAATTGAAAAAAAACTTGTTATTGAAAAAATAAAACTTGTTTATTTGGTATGGCTGGATTCGGATTTCTTTAAAGTTTTCTTCGAGCCCCCTCATGCCTTATGTTTCCATTTGAAAAAAAAAAGTAGGGGTAGCTGGGGGTTAGGGGGTTGAAGAAAAATTAATTATTATATAACCGAAAGATGGGAAAACAGTTAACGTGTTTCGGCGTTTTAAAAAAATTAACTCATTCAAAAGATATGAATTTTATTCCGTACTTCTGGCCATCCCTGTAGAATCTATGTAAATAATACACAAGGGTCAGATTCCGTCTGTACAATTTCAACTAATGCAATTTGTTGCGGGTTGCCTAAGTATGTGACGTCACACTAAAAGAGTATATTGCTAGTAGTGCCACTACCTACCAAATAATCTGAGTTATCTATTTATTTGCCTATATGTTTGGCAACAAACACATTGATTTTTATTGTTTCATTACAATTAAATATTCCTTCATTCCCTTCTATTCGATTCAAAAATACAAATCGATTCGAATAGCTATTCGATATTTCGATTTAATTTTTTCGATCGATACAGAAATGCAAATCAATTTGAATCGATATGTCGATTTATTGTACAGGATTAATCGATTCGATTCGATTCGATTAAAATAAAATTAAACAATTCGATTAATCGACACCAATCGATTTTTTTGACAAATCGATTCGTTATTTCGCGAATCGCACAGGCCTAGTGACCAGGCGGATGAAACTTATCATATCCTGGACGAGTTAAGAAAAATATACAGTGTGATACAATTTCATTGGGCGTACTGACTAGCAACTCCCGAACGATTAAAATTAATGTCGATAAAAGGAATGTTCTCAGTGAGATTAAAAGCCTAACACTCCTTAATATTGCGCTGACGAGGCATCTTGACGTCGAAATACTAACCTTCTGTCTTATTTTAGGGAACGGATCTTTGTTTGGTTCTTCCTCGAACATAGTGTGTGCCGGTGTTGCAGAACAGCACGGTTACAGGTTTACCTTCATGCAGTTTTTAAAGTAAGTAATCTTGTCGATTAAGATAACAAGATCAGTTTGCATTTTGGATAAATTATGACGGCATGTAAGGTTGGGTGTTTTCAAGGAGAACATGATTAAAAGTAACGTAAATTGGAGATAAACGTGCCAAATAGCTCCTTTGGCAAGTAAATATTAAAGAAAATAGGAAAACATATTCTTCGTTGAGTTTAACATTAATAAAAAATTGTTAAGGTGCACTGAGAAAATGATTGGAGAAATAAAATTTATTAGAGGCAATTCGATTACACAGCCCCACAAAAAAAAGTTGCAGGTCCGATAGACAAGACCATGGTATCTATATGGTTTTGGGGTGGCTGAATCCGAATCCGGTGTCCGTTTGACGTGATTAGCTCTGGCTTAAGGTCAGTTCAAGGTCAAATGTAGAAAATCAACTGTCAACAAACTAAACTTACGTATTTATAAGTTTTTGGGGTCGCCGATTCCGAATCTGATGTCCGTTTGACTCAATCAGATCTGGGTTGAGGTCAGTTCAAGGTCAAACGTAGAGAATCGATTGAAAACGAAGTAAACTTACATATCTATACGTTTTTGGGGTCGTTGAATCCGAATCTGATGTCCGTTTGAAGCGATCAGGTCTATTAAATAATTTCTAATAGAAAAAGATCAGTCAACATACGAAAGATGCTTATACAAATATTTTGGTTTTAAACCTAAGTGAAAAATTTGATTGGGTTTGAGCAGAGAGAAAGGTTTCACCAAGATATTAAAGAAGGAGGAAATTTGGGTGGCAATTAAATTGTTACTGATATTGCTAGTGATACTAGTGATGACGAATATATTCCATATCACGTTGTGAAAAAGACGGGAACAATATCACAAAAAAAAGAGGCAGAGAATGGAGCAGAGTTCCTAATATCATGGCTTAAAAAAATATTAAGCAAGCCGGAAAAGTGAAAGCTTTTTACTATCAGTACAGAACTCGGTACGGAAATAAGAATTATTTTTCTAACGATGAAGAATTTTCCTTAGGTTACTACAATGATATTGTTGGATGAATCACTTCAAACATGGATGTTATAAACCTAAAGCACATTGAATTAGAATCAAATACGAACAACATAAATGGCTCTACATTTAACCTTGAACTGACCTTAACGCAGACCTGATCGGATCAAACAAACACCCGGATTTGGATGCATCGACCCCAAGAACGTATAGATACATTGGTTTAGTTTGTTGACAATTGATTTTCTACATTTGACCTTGAACTGACCTTAAACCAGAGTTAATCGCGTCAAACGGACACCGGATTTGGATTCGGCGACCCCAAAAAGATATAGATACATAAGTTTAGTTTATTGACAATTGTTTTTCTACATTTGACCTTGAACTGACCTTAAACCAGAGCTAATCGCGTCAAACGGACACCGGATTCGGATTCGACGACCCCAAAAACGTATAGATACATAAGTTTAGTTTATTGACAATTGATTTTCTACATTTGACCTTGAACTGACCATAAACCAAAGCTAATCGCGTCAAACGGACACCGGATTCAGATTCAGCGACCCCAAAACCATATGGATACCATACTCTTATCTTTCTGACCTGCCACTTTTTTTTTGTGGGGCTGTTATTTATTTGTATTTGACCAGATATCTTTGAAGTTAATAAGGCATTTGTTTAAACGAAATTTTGTTAAAAAAATTATTTAAACTATAAAATGAATTAAAAAGTATTTGCAGTGCGAATTATTTTATTTATTTATTTAACCAGTAAGTATATTTTCCTTCGTTTTTTTTTTTTAGTTGGAAAAAGTTTTCCAAATAAGGAAAAAACTAATAAGGGAAATGAGAGAATTATAATATATTCTTATAAAAAAGCATTTTAAAAAAGACAGGGAAATTACTGACATGCATTTCATTGAAACAAATGTGAAAAACTTCAGATGCCTATTTTTAATTTATTTTTCAGATGAAGAGAGTTATGTATTAATACTTTTTTGTACACAATAATTTTTTCTTTTAAAATATATAAATATATACAGGGTGTTCCATTGATAAAACGTGTTTTTTTTTTAAATTACGAAAACGCGATGCTCAATTGTTTTTTCGATTGCACCATTAAAATCAATAGGAAAAATGCTACTAGTTTGCTAATTTAATCGATTTCGTATCTCTAATAATAACGAAATTAGCAATAGTGCGCCGATAAGTGTGGACACCCTGTATACAATAACTAAAAATAAATATTTTCATAAAAGTAAGGTTCTACTAGTTTTAGGCAAGATTTTTCTCGAAGTGTGCGTATTTGCACTATCAAAATTGAAGATGATTACAATCTGACAAAACGTCGAAATGAATAAACATACTTAATTTTCTTGACGTATTTTTGTAAAAAAAAAATTGTAAACAACATTTATTTAACAAATCATAGGCAAACTAATTAACTTTTTTACCTTTTAGGGTTGGCCTTCCTGTGATGCTATCCAGTTTAACAGTCATTACTATCTATCTAATCATATGCCATGTTGTTCTTAATTGGCACTAATGCTGTGTAATATACGTAACTGTCAAATTGTTTATTTTTATATTGTATTTTAAACTTCAAATCTGTGTTCTTAAATATAGATGTCAGTAATAGTTTTGTGACTTTTTATTTACAAATTCTAAGCATTATAAATTAAGTCTGGACGACGAGGAGGCAACTGTCAGTACCAATTATAATTTAAACTAATTTTTTACAAATGAGCATTTAATTTAATATATGATCGAAGTGCTGATACGTTTGTATATACACCAGGATAACCTGGCTCTCCACAGTTAAAACCCCAAGAGACCAACCCGTATAGAGTTTCATTTATCACAAAAGGACCTCCAGAATCACCCTGAAACACAAATGATACGTAATAGCTTGTGTACACACATAAATTAAAAAAATATCTACTGAACTCAGGTCTGTCTGGTTTGGTGGCCATTAGCAATCTTAAAGTTGACCTTACCTGACACGAATCGCGTCCTCCTTGACGGTATCCCGCGCAGAACATCCTTTTCGTTATGATATTAACAGAATCGTAAATGTCCTCGCAAGTTTCTCTCTCCAAAACAGGAATTTCCAGAACCCTCAACTCTTCCGGGATGAAGTCTTCGAAGGCCGACACGCTTCCCCATCCAGTCACATATCCTTTTACGCCTCTGGGTGGCGATTCGTCCTGTTCTGGAAGTCGTACTGGCCTTATGTCCTCCGATAACCTACAAATGGAATTCAATCCGACATAAATCCGGATCGTTCCGTGGCCGTATGCCTTCAGTACTTACGGTAAGTGTTTTGAGAGCTTTAGTATAGCCAAGTCGTAGTCCTCGGTATTTGAGTCGTAACCTGGATGCAGAATGGCTTCTTTCACGTCTGAAACTACTCCACCTTTGTCCATGTAGATGCTGCCTGCTCGTACGGAGTAAAGGCCGCGTTTTGGGAGGCAGTGGGCAGCTGTCAGGGCAATATCCTGGCTTACCAAAGTGGCACCACACATAATGTGGCCGTTGCGCCTTGAAACAAGAAAAATTAAGTTAAAGGCGCGACTACACGCATAGTTAAGCTAGTGTGACACGATCCAGACAATTTTATTTTGTTGAAATTGTAATTGTTGGTACATAAGTTCGTAGTGTTTTTGTTGAAATCAAAATTAATTCTTTTTAATAAACAAAATACAGGAAATTTTAACGTTGCAGGATGTTATTTCAGAATACAAAATCGATGACTCTGTATAAGTACTGAATTTATTCAATTTGGCTCTTCCACACTGTATTCTAAAATATCCTTCAAAATATTATGGATCACTCTTAAATTACTAAATATTTATTCTAAAAACGCAAATACATATATTCCTGAAAATATTATGAATCCTGAATGAATTAATAACCATTATGTTTTACAGGGTAATTTCACTTTAAATACAGAAACTGTAGGACTAGATTCATTACTAAAAAATAAGTAGAGTTTGCTCTGTAATCTTTTTCCTGCGGGACTCGGAATTCGAGATACAGTGTTAAAGTTTACAAGAAAATATATATTTTCTTCTCTATCTTCATAATGCGCTGACGGAATTGAATGAAATTTACTGCAGCGTATTCACCTGATTAGACCTTTTATTGAATGTAATATTAACCTTGTGGCTTTAACCAGTGGCGTGCTACTGGAGGTGCCGCCCTATTTTCCTAAGAAAAAATTCATTATTGGCATTTTCTAATCTATTTCCAATCATACTTGACTGACAGACGGCAATATGTGTGTCTCAATGACTGTGAATCTGCTTTAATACCGGTTAAGGCTGGTGTCCCTCAAGGTTCGGTCTTAGGGCCTATACTATTCCTTATTTATATCAATGACTTACCTGTTAACATTCGTAATGCTTCTTGTATACTCTTTGCAGACGATACAACCTTGTTAACTCGTGATAAGCACAGCAGAGACAGTCTAAATCTCGCGAATGCCTGGTTTTCGGCAAATAATCTAAAATTAAATATTAGTAAAACAAACTTCATAACTTTTACAACTAGTAAAAATTCAGAGAAGTCTGAACCAGTTAATTTGCTTGGTATTACCCTTGACCCTGGTTTAACTTGGATACCTCATATCAATAAACTATGTTCAAAACTAGCTACGCAGATATTCTTTATGAGACA